TGAGGAATAGTTTCTTCAAGGTCAGTGGTGGAGTTGACAGGTAAGGGAGAGTCGACTGTCTTTATGTTGGAAACCACTAGATCTCCTACCAAGTCATTACCCAATAATAAAGGAATGCCGCTCACAGGCATTGGATCTTTCCTAATGGCTACTTGCACTTCCCCAGTAATCAAGGGACATTGGAGGTGCACTTTAGCTAAGGGATAGGAAGAATGGGATGAGAGATCTGAAATTAGAACACTCTCATTTGTAAATGTGGTAGACATATCAGGAATGACGTTAAACAGGAGGATAGATTGTGCTGCACCCGTATCACGTAGTATACGAATAGGGAAAGAACGAGACCCCTGTATGATTGAAATTTTTCCCTCATAGGTGAATGAAGAGAAGAGATCCTGATGGGGCCTTTCCACATTGGTGGTTGCTATTGGTTTGGATTTGGGATCCAGGGAACTACTTTTAGCAGTTTGACACTTTGGGTGTTTACAAGTCTGGATCGTATGGCCTGGGTTTTTACAGTAAGAACAAGTAAACTTGGTTGCATCAGGGGGGGTAGGTGTGGGACCTTTCGACCTACCACTCACGCCCCCAAGGTTATCATCAGAGGAGGACCTAACATGCCGGAAAGTACCACGTTCCCTACGGCACAGTGACCCCACCAGCAAGGCGTACGCATCAGCCAGCTCAGCCGCACGCCCTAAATTAACCTCTCCACGCTCCTCCACATGCTTCAAGATGTGAAATGGTATCTTGCTCTTCCACTCCTCCAGGACTCCCAAGTTTAACAAATTCTGAGGTGGCCATTGTTAAGAACACCTAGATAAATTAATTAATGGTCAAAAAGATAAGATAAGTGGATTACCCTAGAAAATATCACAGCAGTGGATAACCAGAAAGTCCCGGAAACTAACCAAGTTATACCTAGGGAAATTACACTTATGAATATTGTTCTTCTGATAAGATCCTTAGATAAGGATAAGAGACTTGGAAAGATACTTGAAACAGGAAGGGCGTATTACGGCATTAATATAAAGATCCGGATAAACAATCCTTGAGTTTGGTATGATTGACCCCGAATGAGATAATGAGAAGAACAATAATTGAGGCTTTATAATTATGGGGTCCTGGTAGAGCGGGGCATCCCAAGATATCACTTCACCCTAAACTAGTGACTATGGAACAGCCTACTCTGGAGCAAGGGTATGGCATTAAACAGATCCTAATTCTTCCCTACACTCGATAAGACTTACTACACGACTGCCACGTGTAATAACAGGTAAGCCTTATGACACTTGAAACCTAATATCCTACGTCTGTCACTCTTACTGTACGAAAATACCAATATATGCACACACATATGAAGGAACTTTAAATCACCGTAAAGCAATTGTGAACAGAAGTGACTGGGAGGAATAATTAACAAGGAGTAACAAGGGGGAAAGAACTATGGCACTTAATGTTGGGTCCTGTCACGGTCGCCATTTGTTACGAGTTGGGGATTTAGAATATAGTTAAAAGTCTACCCAGATCCCAACAGGCAACAACAATAAAAAAACAAAGACAATCGGACTATAAAAGGGTAGACAAAGGATGCGAGTTCTTGTTGTGTATAATAAAGTACCATAAATTCCTTAACAAAATATTCAGCTTCTTATAAATTACCCTTAACCATACTAAACCTAAACATACGCAACATTGGCTTAACAGTATATACATATTTATACAACATTCGGAAGCAAGTGGACGTGCGGAGGCAATATAAGATTACAAAATACTCAAGTGCAGTGCTGTGATGGCTGACGAGTAAGGCTGAGTATTGAAGATGGTAGGTAGTCACTGTGCCGTAGATTTCCAGGATAGGTGATCCTAGTGTGGTCACTTCCCAGAGTGAACTGAACTTTCCTCGATCTGGAGCTGATGAGAAAGACTTGGAGGAGGTGACGCAACAACCAGGATATGGAGAAGGGAAACCCCGGAGTGGTAACTAAGACTAGTCATACTCGGGTTTCGTCCCTAGATGGCGTTGCTCGTGGTGCTGGCTAGGTAGATCAGGACAATAGATGGCTTGGTTCGTAGTGCTGGATAGGTAGATCATGACAATTGGTGGCGTGCTTCGTAACACACACGTTCAATCTTCTTTATACCATAGTGTACAAGAATGTGTCTCGTGAGAGTACCCTTTAGTGCAAAATGTTTCCCACATTCCTCACATTCAAACTCCTTCACACCACTGTGTCCAAGAATGTGTTTCTTGAGATAAGCCTTCCGGGAGAAACATTTCCCACATTCCTCACATTGAAACTCCTTTATACCACTGTGTTCAAGAATGTGTGTCTTGAGATTATCCTTCCGGGAGAACCATTTCCCACATTCCTCACATTCAAACTCCTTTATACCATTGTGTTCAAGAATGTGTGTCTTGAGATTATCCTTCCGGGAGAAACATTTCCCACATTCCTCACATTCAAACTCCTTTATACCACTGTGTCCAAGAATGTGTTTCTTGAGATTACCCTTCCGGGAGAAACATTTCCCACATTCCTCACATTCAAACTCCTTCACACCATTGTGTACAAGAATGTGTTTCTTGAGATTACCCTTCCGGGAGAAACATTTCCCACATTCCTCACATTCAAACTCCTTCACACCACTGTGTCCAAGAATGTGTTTCTTGAGATTACCCTTCCGGGAGAAACATTTCCCACATTCCTCACATTCAAACTCCTTCACACCATTGTGTCCAAGAATGTGTGTCTTGAGACGATCCTTCCGGGAGAAACATTTCCCACATTCCTCACATTCAAACTCCTTTATACCACTGTGTCCAAGAATGTGTGTCTTGAGAGTACTCTTTTGGGAGAAACATTTCCCACATTCCTCAAATTCAAACTCCTTTATACCACTGTGTCCAAGAATGTGTGTCTTGAGAGTACTCTTCTGCGAGAAACATTTTCCACATTCCTCACATTCAAACTCCTTTACACCATTGTGTACAAGAATGTGTGTCTTGAGATTACCCTTCCACGAGAAACATTTCCCACATTCCTCACATTTAAACTCCTTCACACCATTGTGTACAAGAATGTGTTTCTTGAGATTACTCTTCTGGGAGAAACATTTCCCACATTCCTCACATTCAAACTCCTTCACACCATTGTGTCCAAGAATGTGTATCTTGAGATTACTCTTCTGGGAGAAACATTTCCCACATTCCTCACATTCAAACTCCTTCACACCATTGTGTACAAGTAAATGTTTCTGAAGAGCAGACTTGAAGCCAAACTGTTTGCCACATTCCTCACAGGAGAGCTTTTTATCTCTGCTTGACATTGTGAACTTCTACTTAGTTTCACTTGGTCTTGAGACGTGACATCACAATATCTGAAATAAAATATTTTGCCTTAGATGATATTCTTATAAAAGTACAATTTATAAATGAAAACTACAAGTGACTAAATCAATTTGTGTAAAATAAGAGTAAAAATAAAATAAAAATATAAAATAAAAAGGTTATATTAATCTACACCGCAAAGATGCCGGAAACCCAGCTTTATGAAGTGAGACAGATTGTATGAGTATGGAAACACAGAAGAAGGCAGAGCATTCAACAGTGTGAGGAAAGAAGGATGTACTATAATGGGTTATTATAGTGTGACCCACAGTCACACAGACACAGTTTGGCTGTGTGAGTAAAGAAGGATGTACTTTTGTACTATAACGGGCTATTATAGTGTGACCCACATCCACACAGACCCAGTTTGGCTGTGTGAATAAAGAAGGATGTACTATAACGGGTTATTATAGTGTGACCCACATCCACACAGGCACAGTTTGGTTGTGTGAGTAAAGAAGGATGTACTATAATGGGTTATTATAGTGTAATCCACACAGGCACAGTTTGGCTGTGTGAGTAAAGAAGGATGTACTATAACGGGCTATTATAGTGTGACCCACATCCACACAGACACAGTTTGGCTGTGTGAGTAAAGAAGGATGTATTATAATGGGTTATTATAGTGTGACCCACATCCACACAAACACAGTTTGGCTGTGTTAGTAAAGAAGGATGTACTATAATGGGTTATTATAGTGTGACCCACATCCACACAGACACAGTTTGGCTGTGTGAGTAAAGAAGGATGTACTTTTGTACTATAACGGGCTATTATAGTGTGACCCACATCCACACAGACCCAGTTTGGCTGTGTGAATAAAGAAGGATGTACTATAACGGGTTATTATAGTGTGACCCACATCCACACAGGCACAGTTTGGTTGTGTGAGTAAAGAAGGATGTACTATAATGGGTTATTATAGTGTAATCCACACAGGCACAGTTTGGCTGTGTGAGTAAAGAAGGATGTACTATAACGGGCTATTATAGTGTGACCCACATCCACACAGACACAGTTTGGCTGTGTGAGTAAAGAAGGATGTATTATAATGGGTTATTATAGTGTGACCCACATCCACACAAACACAGTTTGGCTGTGTTAGTAAAGAAGGATGTACTATAATGGGTTATTATAGTGTGACCCACATCCACACAGGCACAGTTTGGTTGTGTGAGTAAAGAAGGATGTACTATAATGGGTTATTATAGTGTAATCCACACAGGCACAGTTTGGCTGTGTGAGTAAAGAAGGATGTACTATAACGGGCTATTATAGTGTGACCCACATCCACACAGACACAGTTTGGCTGTGTGAGTAAAGAAGGATGTATTATAATGGGTTATTATAGTGTGACCCACATCCACACAAACACAGTTTGGCTGTGTTAGTAAAGAAGGATGTACTATAATGGGTTATTATAGTGTGACCCACATCCACACAGAGACACAGTTTGGCTGTGTGAGCAAAGAAGGTACTATATGTATTATAGGACCCACATCCACAGGTGCAGACACAGCTTGGCTGCGTGAGTAAAAGAAGGATGTACTATAACGGTTATTATAGTGTGCACCCACATCCACAGCACACAGTTTGGCTGTGTGAGTATAGAAGGATGTACTATATCGGGTTATTATAGTGTGACCCACATCCACACAGACACAGTTTGGCTGTGTGAGTAAAGAAGGGTGTACTATAATGGGTTATTATAGTGTGACCCACATCCACACAGACACAGTTTGGCTGTGTGAGTAAAGAAGGATGTACTATAACAGGTTATTATAGTGTGACCCACATCCACACAGACACAGTTTGGCTGTGTGAGTAAAGAAGGGTGTACTATAATGGGTTATTATAGTGTGACCCACATCCACACAGACACAGTTTGGCTGTGTGAGTAAAGAAGGATGTACTATAACGGGTTATTATAGTGTGACCCACATCCACACAGACACAGTTTGGCTGTGTGAGTGTAGAAGGATGTACTATAACGGGTTATTATAGTGTGACCCACATCCACACAGACACAGTTTGGCTGTGTGAGTATAGAAGGATGTACTATAACGGGTTATTATAGTGTGACCCACATCCACAGACACAGTTTGGCTGTGTGAGTATAGAAGGATGTACTATAACGGGTTATTATAGTGTGTGACTCCATGGCAGACACAGTTTGGTATGTGTGGAGTAAAGAAGGATGTACTTATAACGGGGTTATTATAGTGTGGCCCACATCCACACAGACACAGTTTGGCTGTGTGAGTACAGAAGGATGTACTATAACGGGTTATTATAGTGTGACCCACTTCCACACAGACACAGTTTGGCTGTGTGAGTAAAGAAGGATGTACTATAACGGGTTATAGTGACCCACATCCACACAGACACAGCTTGGCTGTGAGTAAAGAAGGATGTACCATAATGGGTTATTATAGTGACCCATATCCACACAGACACAGTTTGGTCAGTGAGTAAAGAAGGATGTACTATAACGGGTTATTATAGAGTGACCCATCCACACAGACAGTTTGGCCAGTGAGTAAAGAAGGATGTACTATAACGTGGGTTATTATAGTGGGGACCCACATCCACACAAGTAGACACAGTTTGGCTGTGTGAGTAAAGAAGGATGTACTATACTGGGTTATTATAGGTGACCCATATCCACACAGACACACAGTTTGGCTGTGTGTGTGAGTAAAGTTGAAGGTGTACTATAACGGGTTATTATAGTGTGACCCACATCCACACAGACACAGTTTGGCTGTGTGAGTATAGAAGGATGTACTATAACGGGTTATTATAGTGTGACCCACATCCACACAGACACAGTTTGGCTGTGTGAGTATAGAAGGATGTACTATAACGGGTTATTATAGTGTGACCCACATCCACACAGACACAGTTTGGCTGTGTGAGTATAGAAGGATGTACTATAACGGGTTATTATAGTGTGACCCACATCCACACAGACAGTTTGGCTGTGTGTGAGTAAAGAAGGGTAATGGCAACGGGGTTATTATAGTGCACTCCACATCCACACAGACAGTTTGGCTGTGTGAGTAAAGAAGGGTGTACTATAACGGGGTTATTATAGTGTGACCTACATCCACACAGACACAGTTTGGCTGTGTGTGCAAAGAAGGATGTACTATACCTAAGTTATTATAGTGTGACCCACATCCACACAGACACAGTTTGGCTGTGTGAATACAGAAGGATGTACTATAACTGGTTATTATAGTGTGACCCACATCCACACAGACACAGTTTGGCTGTGTGAGTACAGAAGGATGTACTATAACTGGTTATTATAGTGTGACCTACATCCACACAGACACAGTTTGGCTGTGTGAATACAGAAGGATGTACTATAACTGGTTATTATAGTGTGACCCACATCCACACAGACACAGTTTGGCTGTGTGAGTACAGAAGGATGTACTATAATGGGTTATTATAGTGTGACCCACATCCACACAGACACAGTTTGGCTGTGTGAGTAAAGAAGGATGTACTATAACGGTTATTATAGTGTGACCACATCCACACAGACACAGTTTGGCTGTGTGAGTACAGAAGGATGTACTATAACGGGTTATTATAGTGTGACCCACATCCACACAGACACAGTTTGGCTGTGTGAGTACAGAAGGATGTACTATAAGGTTATTATAGTGACATTATCCACACAGACAAAGTTTGGCTGTGTGAGTTAGAAGGATGTACTATAATGGGTTATTATAGTGACCCACATCCACACAGACACAGTTTGGCTGTGAGTAAAGAAGGATGTACTATAACGGGTTATTATAGTGTGACCCACATCCACACAGACACAGTTTGGCTGTGTGAGTAAAGAAGGATGTACTATAACGGGTTATTATAGTGTGACCCACATCCACACAGACACAGTTTGGCTGTGTGAGTAAAGAAGGATGTACTATAACGGGTTATTATAGTGTGACCCACATCCACACAGACACAGTTTGGCTGTGTGAGTAAAGAAGGATGCACTATAACGGGTTATTATAGTGTGACCCACATCCACACAGACACAGTTTGGCTGTGTGAGTAAAGAAGGATGTACTATAACGGGTTATTATAGTGTGACCACATCCACACAGACACAGTTTGGCTGTGTGAGTAAAGAAGGATGTACTATAACGGGTTATTATAGTGTGACCCACATCCACACAGACACAGTTTGGCTGTGTGAGTAAAGAAGGATGTACTATAATGGGTTATTATAGTGTGACCCACATCCACACAGACACAGTTTGGCTGTGTGAGTAAAGAAGGATGTACTATAATGGGTTATTATAGTGTGACCCACATCCACACAGACACAGTTTGGCTGTGTGAGTAAAGAAGGATGTACTATAACGGGTTATTATAGTGTGACCCATATCCACACAGACACAGTTTGGCTGTGTGAGTAAAGAAGGATGTACTATAACGGGTTATTATAGTGTGACCCACATCCACACAGACACAGTTTGGCTGTGTGAGTAAAGAAGGATGTACTATAACGGGTTATTATAGTGTGACCCACATCCACACAGACACAGTTTGGCTGTGTGAGTAAAGAAGGATGTACTATAACGGGTTATTATAGTGTGACCGCTGTGCCTCCAACTCGGCCCAGCAAATACCAACACGGACCATCTCGGTTAACCAACCTTTAACTCAAACATTCTAATGTATGTTTATATCAACGACATAACATAAAACATTTATTACCTTTACCACGAGGGAGGGAGGAAGGCCCACAAATTAACATTTACTTACAAAATTAACAACAATAAACGAGACGGCCACCTTGGTTGATGTCGACCAGCTTCACCTTGTCCGATTCTCTCTCTTATCTTTCAGTAACTACAAGTTTTCATTATTAATACTATAATAAAAGCATTTTATTTATAAATGATACATAATATAAATAAATTATACTTTAATTATAATGTTTTATTGTTGATTAAATTCCCACTAATAGATATATATTAATATTAAACTAAACTTAAGTCAGTGGCTGGAGAACCGAATAGCTTGACAACATTCACAATTTTACTAAAATAAATTTAAACAATAACATTTTGTGTTGAACTATTTTAAGTTTATTTATTAATATTTTATTAATATATAACACTACAGTATATAGAATCAGTAAACGAACGACTCCGTGGAACTAATTGTGTCGGTTAATGGAGGGACCAGTGAGGATATTTTAGTGACCCCTCCCTGGTGACAACCTTAACCTGACGTGGGTCAACACTCCACTATCCACCTATTTGAACCTTTATTAATGTGGAACAAGTCCATTATAAGAACAATTCACTGGACAATACTCACAGCAGTAGGTATAACCTGTAATATTTGATCACTAACTTGAACTATCATCATTATTGCTGTGGAATGTTCCTAAAAGTACAGTAATTATTTACCTATTATACAGTACAGCATTAATTTAATCCCAAGATTGATGCCAAAAAACTATATTTAAGTATAACTTAACCCAAATAAAATACCCCATTTGTTTGTAAAGTTTCCTGGCTTTTCCATGCAGTCGACACCCCAATAGTCTATGTTATTTATAAAACGTACATGAAAGCCTTTTAAAAAATACGGGCAAAGCCTAAGTAATCTACTTTAAATATCTAATTGTTTCAAAAAGTCATTAACACAATAACTAATTTGTGAACCCAGATTTAAAATCAGGTAAAGTAGTACCCTGTACCTTCGTAGGATATTTAAACTATTTTTTTACCCCAAGTGCTGAAGACAAAGGTATTAGGTCAGGCATATTTGACAAATATTTTGACAACGTGAAACTAACTTCATACAGTAAAGATGGTCAACATATTTAAGACCACCCATAAAGGCCTTTTAAAACTTACGGGCACAGCGTAATCTACTTAAAATATCTAATTATTTCAAAGGTCTTTAACACAATTACTTGAATTTTTAAACTGTGATCCCAGATCCTTAATAAAAACTAAAACCACAAAGATATACACTGTACTGTGGTGCAGCAAGAGACCCGTTAACCAAAACAAACCTTCGTCTTGTGGCCCATATCTTACATCTTCACGTCACCGTCCTGGAATGAATAACATTTTAATACCTAATAAATTAAATACTCTGGGCAGTAATATTATATAATATGTATACAGTACTATACAGTATTATATTATACAGGAACTCATTAAATCTTCAAACATTTACAAACAATATTATGGTTAAATTAAGACACTTTAGAAAATCTTACCTCGACGAATGACACAAGGAACTTCATTAACCATGATCAGCGAGGCAGCAATATGGTAGTTGTCTGAACACTACAGTAACAACCAATTGGAGCCGTAAACTGTAAACAAAATAACCCTGTTACTCTTTTTGTAGAAACTCAGATAATTTTTTGTTCCAACATGTTGGAGACGAAACAACCTTGTAAAGGATTGCCAACACGGTTTTATGCCGGGGCGCTCCTGCTTAACACAATTGCTCAAGGTACTGGATATTTGGACCCATAGTCTGGAATGGGGTGGTAATATAGACAATATTTACCTAGATTTTGCCAACGCTTTCAACAATGTACAAGAAAAGGCTGAAAATCAAACTGGAAGGGTATGGAATTCGAGGAAATGTCCTAGCATGGATAGAAGACTTTCTACATGACCGCAAGCAGTGTGTGGCGTTTATTGGCACAAAATCGTCATCCGTACCTGCCACAAGCGGGGTACCACAGGGCAGTGTATTGGGCCCGCTGTTGTTTGTTTGTTTCATAATGACATGCCTGACGTTGTACACTCCTCCACACAAATGTTTGCGGATGTCGCCAAGTTATTTCGGGAAATCAAGAACCAAGCAGACTGCGAAGAGCTGCAGAAGGACCACAAGTTAACTCTGGTCAACAACTTTCTTAATACCACTTACTAGTCACTAATGGATAACACCTGGTAAATTCACAAGTTATATCCCACTGCCATAAGGGTTTAATTATCTATAAACAACGACATTGTGAAGAATCTTGTGATTTTTCCTTTCCCAGAGAATTAAAATACCATCGAAGACAGAGTTTGGTTCGGTTAGGTTTGAATCCCACCAAATTGTTATTTTCCCCGAGAATTAAAACCTCACCATCGGACACATGATTTGGTTAGGTTAGGATCCCACCAAATAGTGACAAAAATGTAAATTTCTTGTCAAAAAATTAACTGCAATTTTACCGTAAAGTTCCCAAAATGTCTCAAAAGCTAATTTTTTACTGAAAACTGTAATTTAACTAGAATTAAAAAGTACCACATTCTTATAACTAATTTTTTTACTTCAATTAAATAAAAAAAGACCGAAATACTTCCTCAAACAAATTTAACTTCAATTAAATAAAAAATCTTTCCCAAGATAAAAATGGCCCAAAATCCCACCTTGGTTAATATACAGTGGTCCCTCGGTTAACGAGCGCCTCGGTTAACGAGATTTCGGTTAACGAGTTACCTCCCATACGATTTTTAACGAGTTTTTTTTATTAGCCGACCTCAACATGTTTTCGCTTGCACTTGGCAGTCAACCAGCTGTAGTATTAGTCTGCCAATACAGTAATCGGTTCTAGGGCTTAAATTCCGTACTATTTTATTAAATATCAATAAGTTTATACTATTCAATAATTTCAAAAGTTTAATACAGTGAATCCTCACTTTATGCGGTTAATTCAACCCACGGCAGCCCGCGTAAAGTGAGAAACGCGTGAAGTGAACAACATAACATATGGGATTAATTGAAATAGAGACCGGGCAGACCCCCAAACTCCACTTTTTCAGACACAATACCTACGTTGTAGTAAAAATAACTTCTTAATTTTATGATGGTATGCACACAATTAATAATTAAGAGAAATATCAATAATATTAGGTTTTTTTACACTTTTCATAAGTAGAAAAGATGGCTGGGCACATGGGGATGGGGGGTTGGTTCCGAGGCAGAGGGTAGATTATTGGCCCTCACCTGTATCACTATTGTTACGAACCCCTCCACCCAGCACTACGAACCACGCCATCTATTGTCTTGATCTACCTACCCAGCACCATGAGCAACGCCATCTAGGGACGAGACACGAGTATGACTCGTCTTTGTTACCACTCCGGGGTTTCCCTTCTCCATATCCTGGTTGTTGCGTCACTTCCTCCAAGTCTTCTTTGTGAGCTCCAATTCGAGGAGAGAGGACTACACTCTGGGAAGTGACCACAGGATCATCTATCCTCTAAACCTACGGCACAGTGACTACCTACCGTCTTCTACAATACTCCGCCTTACTCGTCAGCCATCTCAGCTCCTCACTTAAGTATTTGTAATCTTGTATTGCCTCCCCCACGTCCACTTGCTTCAAAATTGTTTATGTTGTATTAATATGTATATACTGTTAATGTTTAGGTTAAGTATGGTTAAGGGTAATTTATAGGAAGCTGAATATTTTGTTAAGGGATTCATGGTACTTTATTATACACAACGAAAACTCCCATCCTTTGTCTACCCTTTTATAGTCCGATTGTCTTTGTTTTTTTTTGTTGTTGCCTGTTGGGATCTGGGTAGACGTATAACTATATTCTAAATCCCCAACTCATAACACTATCCACCACAGAGGCTTGCAGGGCCTCTTTGTCAAACCCCTCAAAGTCCATATAAGTCCATATCCTCACTATAATTATCACTATCACTGACTTGGGCCGGCTGTGGTGGGTGGCGGGTGAAGAACTCGATGATGTTTTGATGACTGGGTGACCTTGAGCGCACCCTGCTTGTGCCGCTCTCCGCGTAAAGGGGTACACGCACCGCGGAATGTGAGCATTCTGTGTTCGGCAGGGTACCGCGTAAACGTGGAAACGCGGAATGTGGGACCGCGTAAAGCGAGGGTTGACTTTATTAAATTTCTTAAGTCATTTTAACAATAATTGAACATAACTGAAGGTAAAGTCACTAGTTTTATGTGCGCCATCCAGCCTTTTAACACACCAAACCGGCGTTAGTCTCTCTCTGTTTTCAGTGGAGGGAACATCTTGCTTGAGACTCTCTTCAACTAAATGCTTTTTTTTTGTGTCTCCAAGCAAATTATTGGTCATTTTGAAATTTATTTTACATATTGACAATATATAGCACAGTGTAGTGTTATTTTAAAGAAAATATTCTTTATTTACAGCTAGTTTAACTTTAAAAATCACGTGTTGACATTGTTTGAATCTAGCATGGGGCCTAAGAGATCAAGAAAAGCGATTTCAATCCAAACCAAGCAGGAAATTATAAAAAAAACATGAACAAGACATTAGAACAAATGTGCTTAGCAAAGAATATGGCATGTAGACATCAACTGTGTCAACAATTCTTGCACAGAAAGACAAATTTAAAGAAGTGAAAGTGAGAGACAAATCTACCAGAGTGTTTAAAAGTAGATCCCTAATCGCAGAAACTGAGAGGTTACTTATCATCTGGATTAGGGAAAAACAGATGAAAGGTGATTCAGTTTCTACTGAATTCATTTGTGAAAGAGCCAGGGAGATTTACGAACATTTAAAGGAA